TGAGGTCAGTAAAATGAATACCCAGCTTGCTGGGGGGGGGGAGGCAACGTGTAGCCTGCATAGTTAACTTGTCAACCATCCAGAGAGTGCTTGAAGCACTATGGGGCGATATATAAGCAGCTCTCTTTGTTCTTTATGGGGCGATATATAAGCAGCACTCTTTGTTCTGCTTTGCTTTTTGATGTAAAATTCATCAGGTCTCCCTGGATAAAGTGGCTGTCCCAGGGCTTCCTGTTCATCCCGCTTGCACTCCAATTCACATGATCCAGTCTTACATCCATTCCCTTGCAGACCACGTCCTGAAAGGGTCTGGAAAATTTATGCGTTCCCGCCAATATTCCAGTTTTCAGCCTGAAAACGATTGAGGACAGTAACCCGTAGAACATTTAATATTCCCTTCTTCTATACAAGAATTTGGGAAGTCTTCCTTTAGAGATGTTTATTTAAACTCAGTAAAGGGTTACAAAAGAAGCCAATTCACACATAATGTAAGACTAAGATCTAGAATCCCATGTGTAATGGTTTAGTGCCATATGTGAAGAGGGTCCATTGTAATATAATCAATCTGATTTCGATATTGTTCCCTCTTTTCTTAGGGAACAACCCCCTTTGTTCCCTAAGAAAAGAAGCCAGAAAACAGTTTCTGCTTTCCTCATGTTGCCATATCTGTATTAGGGAAATGAACTGATGATGGTGCTCCAAAGATAATACTGATATGGAGTCAATATAAATAGAGCGTGATCCTCTTTGAACCCATTTTGAGGACAGAAAGGTGTGGCATCTGCCCAAGTCATGTGCTATCTGCATGGACCAATGAGAGTGCTGGAGAGACAGAGTCCCGAGACAGAAGAGTCTCTGGAGGAGGAGGAGGAAGATAGATTAGGAGTTTAAGATTGAAGATTAGAGGATTGGTGATTTGGGAGTTTGGAGTGGAGAGAGAGGGTTGGCGGTTGAGAGTGTATGAAGAAGGATGTTTTGTTAAGAGTTAATGACACTGATTAATACCTTCATCATCTGTAATAATAAACAACTTCTATTTGGTTCTTTTTAAAATGACACACTGCCTGGACCTCTGTTATTAATAATATATAACGCTGATGTAATCAACTGGTGGCAGCGACATGACACGTAGCTTGTGCCCTCTGCTTGGTGAAACCACCAAGGGACACGTGGGAATGTGACAAAAGGCTGCAGCAGAGAACAACAAATAAAGACAAGCAATTTAGCTGATGCAGTACCTTGCCTAATTTCTAGAAGAAACCCACGTTTCTCAGAGAACATTCCCCTTTTCCCCTAGGAGGCTGCTAGGGACTGAAAGTCTGAGAAATTAAAAACAAAAGCAAAAAAGAATCTGCATTCTGAAAAATAAACAGAAGCATTTCCCCACAAACTGGCATTAGTTGAGAAGTTCATGGCAGTTATTGTCCATGGTCCAGGCTGTAAAACCAGCTGCCCCACTCCAACACCCTTCTAATGTGTTGGACAACAACTCACCAGGGATTCTGGGGGTTGGCAAATTAGGGACAGTTGTGCTAAGAAAAAGAAGAGGGGAATGGATTGTTGTCGGGATATGGGCCGCCTTAGCAGAATACAGTAAGCTACATGAAATACTACACCCAATCATTAAGAGTTCCCTATATGTGTGCCCCCTCTTCCCACTGATACCTTCCCCCTCTTGACCAGTTATCATAATTGAGCAGTTATGTCTCTTCTGACCTATTTAAATAGATTCAACACATATTCTTCCCTACCATGGGTTTTGTTTGATGGCACACAGCCAAGCATACAAAACTGCATTAAGCTATATCAGAAACATTTACTCTTAAAATACTGTGGGAAGTCAGCCACATGAAACATTTAGCACACAGTAATCAACCAGGAAGAGTGGTGAAATGGTAAATCTAAAATGGAAGTACCCATCATAATCATTCCTTCTTGGAAAATCTGGAACTGCAGGCAGCTATATTCCTCCTTCCCAACAAATCAATTCTAGAAAAAGATCTCCAACAGGATCAGCTTTTTTGTGAAGCTGATGGGTCTTAACTAGGAATGAAAAGAGTACTACTTCTTTCATTTTTATCAGTGTTATCATGACAAAAATCTTTGTTTTGTGCAAAACATTTCAAGGAAGACAGGGGTGGGTGAGTAAAAAGAGATGGCATTTTCCCTACTAATCAAACATGTCCAGTATTCTGACCCTGCAAGCCCACGCTCCATAAAAACACTGACTGGGAATATTTAAATTACAGTATGTTTGAGGAGTAAAGGACTTCACAGAAGAATTTCATGGCCCCATTGCACATGTAATGCATATAAGTGTTATATTTAATAATGAACTTTATTGGTTCTGCTTAACATATGAAACACATTATCATCTCTGCATTGGCCATTTCCAAAACAACATGGTAGTACAACATGAATAAGGCAGATGTGCAGCATCTACCTCTAATTATTTTTGGTTCATAAGCAAGTGCACTCAGGTTCAATCAGAGCCAATGAGTACAGCACGTTCCATCCCTTGTGCTGGAACAGGCTTAAATGGACCTGAACTACACATGTGAGCAAAACAAAAACAAAATCAAGAACAAGCCCCCTACACACAAACACACACACACACACACACACACACACAAACCTACTGTGCATACAACTAAATCTAATACATTTAACCAGTTGTCTAGCTCACACACACAAACCTACTCTGCGTACAACTAAATCTAATATATTTAACCTGTTGCCTAGTTTCAACCCAAGCAAAGATGGAAGCAAGCAAACTGCCTTGAAACGCCTACCTTATAATGAATCCTCTTCCTCACACTTTTGCATCCCATTCTATATCACATAAACTGTTCCAATAACTATTTTGGCTAAGAAGGATAAAACAAATGCTTTAATGGCATTTTATAAATAAGAATATTAATATTAAATTGAGGAAGGCGGAGCAACAGGCAGCGAGAACAGGGGAAATTCCAGGGCTCTGGATTCCCCTGGGTTTACTCAGAGTCAGCGGACCCCCCAAGAGAAGGGGGCAAGCTTTTGACAGGACAGTGGAATAAGGCATAAGATCTGCTGTAGTCAGAATTTATATAATGGATAAGCTGGTATGGGAAATACCTCCCTGCTTATATATTTTGTTTGTCTTACATGTTCTTGATTGTCTTGTAGGTTTTTGTTTGTTCTGTATGTATGTATGTCTCAAAAATAATAAAATTTATTTTTAAAAAAGTAAAAAGAAAGAATATTAAGATTCTTGTCCTTTAAAGTTGTGGAAAGCACACTTTCAGTCTATAGCCATGGCTCGGATGCTGACTGCCTTCAGAGGGAGGGGGAAATGAAACAGCTCAATAAATGAAGCCTTTTAAGTATCAGTCAATGTGCCCTTTCTCACCCCTATGAAGAGGACCAAGGGGCTTGCCAAGAAATGTCATTAACACGGCTCATGAAATTTCAGAGTCTTAAGGAAATGAGAGTCAGCAACAATAACAGTTGCATGGAAAGTAAATGCCACTCTAATAATTATTGGGCCAGGGAATATTTTTTTTCTTCAAATAATAGTATGAGATATTTGGTGTCTTTATTCCAAACATACCTCTTCAGGAGTTTACACAAGCCATTTGGAACAAAGAGGTAGTTATTGTCCTTACTTCTTGAAACTATAGTAACCAGATTAAAGCATATTATACTGAATCTTCTAAGAAGTGCTTAGCAGGCATGCGCGCGTGCGCACACATGCACACACACACACACACACACGCACACACACACACACAAACGGCCAAATGTTAGGTCACTGTATATTAAGAAAACTATTCAAGAGAAATTACGTACAAACCAGCTGCCAGGGTGGTCTTCATTCTGAGGCTTGAATCTCTGCTGAGAATGCATTTCAGATAGAAACACAGTCATCTTTTTTGATTGTTTAAAAGGTTCTTTCTCACATTACCTTTGCAAGTGAGAAAGGTCTTTCCAGAAGGCCACTTAGCAGTAGAGAACTATTTTTACTTTGTCCAGGCAGACATATCTGACCATCCTAAGTATGTGCTCATGCAGGCACATGGGATGTCTGAAGAGTGCCCTCATGGATGTAACACATATGAATTAACCACATGAAATACAGTCAGGATCTGACCACTGAGATGAATCAATTGAATCCTAAAAAACCAAGGGAAGCTTGGCCTGAAAGGAAAAGTTCACCACTGGCTAGTACTCTTCCATCTCTAGCTATCTAATGCAGCTAATGGCCAAACTCCCCTTGCGTAAAGTTATGCAGTGTAAGAGAAATGATGTCATCACCAATGGTGAAACCTGGAAATCAAGCAGGGTGGTGGTGGGGAAGAAGGCTTGTTCATTAATAGCTGCAATTTAGAGCCCTCACTGCAATTCTTTATTGTGCAACTTGCACAGTGAGAACTCTAAACAGCAGCTGTTAATGTAAGAATTTTTCACTTGGATTCTGGGGTCACGCACACTGCAAGTGATATCATGCCTTATAAGCATCTGCAAGATTTTAGCCAACCTTTACTACCTATGAGAAGGAGGGCAATCTAGCAAGCTATAGATAAGTTATAGTTATAAATAAAAGGCTGACAGGCACAGACTCTCTTTTCTGTTTCAGTATAATATTAAGAAGGACAGGGCAAGTTCTGGGGGAGGTGAGCAGAAACCATTTTTTCCCACTAGGCACTGCACCATCCCTTCCAAATGAAAACAGAAGTGACACACACATTAGCTGCTCTCTACCCCCTACAAACTGCACATCTGGCACATATGAGAAGCTATTTTGAGTATGTACCAAAGTCTATATGGACAGCTCCTATGTATGAGGAAGATCCTGGACCAGTAATTTAAGATCAAAGACTAGCTTCAATCAAAATAAATACAGGAGTCAAGCTCCTTTAATCAGGCCCTCAGGCACATGAGGTTAAAATTCTGCTACTCCCAGTGACTACATCCTTCAAAAACATGGCTTTGTCTGTCCTCAGATGGCTGGCTGTTCCTACCTTCTGCCACATTTTGATGAAGAAGAGCTCCCTGGAGAAGTTGAAAGCTATGTTGGTATCATAAGCATCGTCCCCAACGTTGGAGATGGAGATGTTCAGAGAAATGTTCTTCACGGCTCCCAATGCCAGGTAGGGAGCCCTGTCATCGACACTGCCAACAGAAATGACAAGAAGTTAACACTTGGTCACTCCCTCTCCTCTTCTCTGACATCACAGCAGAGGAATTCAAATGCTCATTTATGAAATATGAACCATAATAACTTTCCTGCTTTAAGACAACAAATAGAAATTAAATAATTTAGCTCTTCCCCTTGTCTGCCATTGTAAGGCCAGGGCAAAATATTACTTAAAACAATTTTCTAAATCAGTGCTCATTTTTCATCTACATCCATCCAGTCATGTTCTAAAGCTGTCCAAACTGGTGGCCATCACCACGTGGCAGCAAATTCCATAGCTAATCTTTACATTCCGTGAAGAAGCATCTGCTTTCACCTGTCATGAAACTCCCACTATTTTATTCTTTTTTCCCACAGCCACCATCCTCCCCAATTCAAACAGAGGACTGGATCAATCATACAGACATAATAAATATTTCTGAATATCACTGCATCTGTAAAGGGAAACAGAGAAACCGAATATATAAAATATCTCTTGTAGATTATGAAAGTCTTCATATGAGCAGTATTGATTCAGATCTACTATTAAAATCCAAAAAGAGATAGCTGACCATTTGAACAGGTAAAATGATGTATACAGTAACTAGCCTAATGTTAAGTCAAGAACCTCAGCTCTGAGCAGACAGAAAAGTTCAAATTCATTTTATTCCAGCTCATTTTCACTTTTATTCCAGACTGATTTCCATTTATATTCATATCTTTTAAAATTATAATGCAGGTGCTGTAAAGTAGGTTACTACAATGTATGTCTTGTTAACTGGAATCAAAAATAAGCAAGTTTTTTAAAAAATTAAAAAGCCAGGGAAGGGGGCTATGTCAACTCATGAGCACTGTCCCCACAAGACAATACGACCCCAGCTGAGCCCTGGCTGAGAAGAAAGGCAGGAAAAAGAGGGGGACGATCTGCTTTCAGTCTCCCCAACCTTCATCCTAATAATTTCTCCTTGTGCCATTCTGTTACTACTGCCTTACTACTCATGAGCACTGTCCCCACAAGACAATATGACCCCAGCTGAGCCCTGACTGAGAAGAAAGGTAGGAAAAAGAGGGGGACGATCTGCTTTCAGTCTCCCCAACCTTCATCCTAATAATTTCTCCTTGTGCCATTCTGTTACTACTGCCTTACTATAGTGAATAAACCAGGTAAACTTACAGACAAGTAAACTGAGTAAGCACAAACCAGACTGCTCCAAATTCCCCCTCTGGAAGGTCCTGAGAGCTCCACAATTTGCTCCTGGTTTACAGGGGGAAATCTCTCCCCCTGTGGAAAGAGGTTCTGCCTCTCTTGCTGCAGGGCTAAGCAGCTGAAACTCGGCTAATTTAGGCATACGTAATTCTGTAAGGAATCAGGCTCTAAGCCTCACAAAACAGCCCCCTGGAGATGCTAACTGGCCAGCAGTGCCAGATTTTCTACAGAAGCTAAGTAAACTATAGTTTAAGGCCTCAGATTATGAGGGACGTCTGGATGCAAAAAGATTGAAAGGAAGAAAAGAAAAATGAAAAAAAGTAAACATACCTTTATGTCAATTATTTATTTTATTTATTTAAATTTATACCTTGCCCATTTAGTGAGCATGCCACTAAAGTTTTATATAATGCTACAAGTCATCTAAAACTTGACATAGTTTAGAGCTGCAGTTCAGTTTAAAGCCTCTTAATCTAGCCAGGTTTACTAGTCTTCTCTGGCAATCATACAGGCATCTTTGCTGAAGGCTATATAAAGATGAGGTTTAACTGCTTTTCTGCTCTGACTGAGGACCTAAATATACTGTGTGAAGCTTCTCTCAAATACATAATTACATGTGTGGAGAAATCTCCTTGGAAAGGAAGAAAAAGGGTTAAGCATCCCTGCCTTTTCATTCCATAACACTCCCAGAAGGTACTGATAGGGTGAGATTTATTTATTTAAAATGAAATGTTAAAGGAATGTGGTGGTGCTGCGGGTTAAACTGCAGAAGCCTCTGTGCTGCATGGTCGGAAGACCAGCAGTCATAAAATCGAATCCATGTGACAGAGTGAGCTCCTGTCGCATGTACCAGCTCCTGCCAACCTAGCAGTTTGAAAGCACGTAAAAATGTGCGTAGATAAATAGGTACCAGCTCGGTGGGAAGGCAACGTGTCTAGTCACGCTGGCCACGTGACCACGGAAACTGTCTATGGACAAACATTGGCTCTGTGGCTTGGAAATGGGGGTAAGCACCACCCATGAGTGGACTAAATGTCAAGAAGAACCTACCTATTTAAAATGTTTGCACACTGCCCCACATCAAACATTTGTTTCAGCTGTTTGCAACAGCAGAACAAATAAAAATGAAGCTGTATGCCACTCAATTTTCAACAGTCTTTTTGCATGAAAAAATGGGGAGTAGGGAGACTTAGAGCATGATCACATAAGACAATTTTTTTTACTTATACCCTAGTTCGACTGCATAAATTTGTGGTCACACAACACACTGCCATTACTGATTCATTTACCAGGCAAGTGGTGTAACTGCAGTTCATTTCCTCCTCATTAAGAGGCTTGTGTTATTTTGTTCTGATGGCATTTTGATCCAGTATGATAAGTGTGCATGACCCTATCGACTATTTTCCAAAGACAAGTCACTGAGGGAGGCAGCGGCCATTAATTCCAGCACAACAGAGGAAATTTTACTGAAGAAGAATCCCTACCTGACACGTCAACATATTGGTTAGTAAATAAAATAAATAAATGAAGGGCTGCACTGCACCAGAGAACAAGAGAGAAAATAAATTGTTACTACAGGTATGCTGTAACTGGCCATAATGATTCAAACAGGAGAAAATGAATCAATAATGTTAAAACACATTGGGATGTTTGCCCAGGTATATATACCACATGACCACAATTCAGTACAACATGAAGGTATGAAAATTATCATTGAAATAGGGGAACTTTTGTCTCGTGTGACTGTGGCCTTAACTGAATATTCTTCACACAAATCTGGGTGAGTGATATTCTCCAACTCATAGGGTGGAAGTGAAGGAGAAATGTTCTAAGAAATTCACCTCGGTGCTACATGAGACTTCGATTCTGCATCAGGTTACATGTTGTAAACAAAGGAAGCGATAGGCCAAGAAAGAATGAATGAAAGCTGAGGAGGATACAGCTTTACTTTTTTCAGTATAACTGAAATACTGTATCTGATACAGTACTGAAACCTGATACATTTCCCATTCTTCACGAATGAATGAAAGCTGAGGAGGATACAGCTATTACTTTTTTCAGTATAACTGAAATATCTGATACAGTTCTGAAACCTGATACATTTCCCATTCTTCAGACTACTTACAAATGAGGAAACTGAGGCATGTGCTGGAACATATCCTTTTCTGATATGTTTCAGCACAGGCCTACCATATCTTGGAGAGACCTACTTAATATGTTTTTAAAACTCCTGTTTGCTCAACAAATGCTGACTGAAAAGTGCAACCTTTTAAGCTTTTTAATAATGTGATAACATTTAAATTATTTACTTGGGAGTACTGCTACTATTTTTCACTAAGGCAACTATAAAAAAAAAATTTAGACTGTTGTTTGCAGCTGCTGACTAACTTCCAGAGTGAAATATTATCAAAATTAGAGAAATGCTTAAGAAGTTAAAGAATAGCAACTGTTTCATCATTAAAGGGGGAAAAAAGTTGATTCTTCAGAAAGGACACAAAATAAAGGCTGACTTGATGGAACCAACAACGAATTCATGGCTTTGGGATACCCTACTGAAGGCCAGATTGGTTTAAGGCTGACAAAGGATTTCAAATCCCCATCACAACACCAACAGGAGACCAAACTCCGGCTTTCCTTTCAAGAGAGCAGTTTCCTGAGTCATTAAATTTCAAGACATCTGGAATGAATCAGGTACACTTTCAGTAAAAAATGGATTAAGGACGAAAGAAACGAAAAAAAATCTATTCACAAGGGAGTTCCCAAGCCTTGTTTGCTGCTCTGGGGCACAACTGATGTCACTGGGTATGGATTGCCTGCAGTGATGTATGAACTGCACTGCTGATGGGGTAGCACCCTTCTTTAGCATCTGCAGTTCATTACAAAAGCTGGTTGCCATCATGAAAATGTGTTGGTTAAACTACATTGTTCAAGAAACAATCTGAGCTACGCTTCACTGGGTCACATAAACCTTGCTCAAGGAAGCAAGTGAATAAACAAAAGAGTCAGGGCTGGAGGGTGGGGGATGCCACATCACATTATGTTTCACTGAGCTATCAGTTAAACTTTTCTCTCTCTTTTTGCCAGTATTTTTTTTGCTACGCATGGCTAAGGCCTGATTTGTGTGACCAGGTTGTTCATAATGAAACCTCTTCTTTTAAAAAGTCTGGATGGCCCAGATCACATGTGCATGTTGTCTCTGTTATCTCTGGCTAAAGTAGATTTCTAGAATGCATTCTTAAGATTGTGAGAGTCAAAGCATTCCAATGGAGCTTATATTATATTGCAACATAAGCCCTACAAAATCACTCCAACCACTATAAAAGCTTTGCTTACAAAACTTTGTTATATAATGAAACAGGCATGCCTTATCATCCACAAATACTTTGGGTCATCCAGGCCAAGCCTTTATGAATATAGAACATAGTAAATCAATATAAGGCTAACTCAAAATCATGTTCTCAACAACAGCAAAGAACTAAAACACTTCATGTACTCTCCTGCATAGCCATGTCAATGCTCCAAATCTGCCAAAGATTACAGTCAAATTACACATTGTGCTGAATATATGTCATGTTTTCTGTTTATTTGATGGTGAGCAGAGGAGCTCCAGACTGGATCAGGACTACAATACACAGGAAGCTATAGTTTAGTTTTCTCTTCCCAGCCACGATCCAACTGATCCTTTAAAATGTACCTTGTCCCCTCCTCATCAGGCAGCCTAGTGTTCAACCTATGCACAAACACACCAGGGCTGCATTCCTTGCTACACAACTAACGCCCAGAGTCTTC